AAAAAAAAAACATAAGTAACGTGCTGAACCTGAAAGGCGAGTTGTGCATTTTGTGCGGCTGCTGCCTGCGCAACAACCAACTGCTCATAGTGACGTTGTAGCTGTTGTTGTTGCTGTTGAGCCTGAAGGTAACTGCCAAGATATTGTTGGGAAATTCATCAGTGAAAGAAAGAAAATGCAAAATTTATTAAGTCAGCGCATGTGGATTTAGTTTCTGTCCAGAGAGGTCTATGTTTAAATCAAAATAAGTTATAAATGTTGTGAGGCAAAGAGTTTATAAGTTAGGACGAAGATTAAGTATTCAATTAGTGCTTTAAAATACACGACTGTGAAAGGCTGCTGTTAAGAAATATCGACTTAGAAAAACTAAAATAAAAGCGGTTCTCTAAATGACTAGTAATAGATGTACCAATCTTTCGGATCGAGTCCACATACTTTGCAACATCTGCTGAATCACATTATCAGTCAATATTTCTGTCAGAAGCTAGGAGACATCTTTCCCAACTCTAACTTATCATCAATTGTGAAAGCAGTACTTCTCAGCTTCAATGCTTTATGGGGATGGCAAAAATGCTATGAAGAAAAGTTATCGGTGATCGAATGAGCCATAGAACGATAAAATACAGAAACCCCGTTCTGGTGATAGCGTTACTACTGAGGCATTGTACAACAAGAAGCAAAGTTAAGATGACTGCCCAGTGAGTACTACAGACAACAGATTATGGTACCCAAAGAAGAGGCAAACCACAAATGATTTCTTGGAATGGGTAAAAAGGATAAAAACAGAGAAGAATGAAGAAGCTACCAGCTGCACCAATGGCGCGAGCAAATACAACGATAAACTATTAAAATACTATAATTAGAGTGCTCAGTCACTAGCCTTTTGCTTTACTGCATCACCAGTGATGCTGTAAAGTATGCCTTACATTAAGAGGAAGCTGAGGGATATTTGAAAATACTACGGGGAAACTGGGAAATTTGATAGCTCCTCTCAGTCACTACTTATTAGTTCTCCCTCTTAGTCACTACTCATTCTACAAGGTAGTTCAGTCCCCCCCCCCCCTCCCGCCCCAGAATCAATTCAGAAAAGAATCAAATGGCATTAACATCACAAAATACTGAATCTAGGCGATCGAGGTAATGAGTGAAATACGGACCTGCTGATAAAACTGCGTATACGCTTGATTAGATATGCCAAGTGAGGGATGAAGATAGAGTGCTGCTGCCAAATTCATGTTACTCGCATTCTGTTGTTGTTGCTGTTGTTGCTGCGCCGCCGATGGCGACGTGAACGACGGATTACCGCCACCGGGAAACATCGCTACCAAACAGGAAAAATATCGCACACCGTTCTCTGAAACAACTGTTTTACAGGAAATCAACAATGGTTACAACGATTGCTACTGATAAAGAGATATCATTCGAGCAGGAGATCTCGTGATTAGATTAGACCTTCTTGGCTTCCTCTTATGATCAGGCCTCTATGGCCATTTCTTTGACAGACCAACCTCTAATGCAAATGCATTCATGGTGAATTAGGGGTTACAACAATTGCTACTGATAAAGCGATATCATTTGAGCAGGAGATCTCGTGATTAGGCGAATTTGAGGCGAATTTGGTTTTTAGCAATGAGGCGAATTTGGTTATTAGCACTGAATTCGTCTAGAGAATTAATGAAGTTACAGCAATAAGGCTGAGGACACGCCACCCCTTACAGATTACTGAATTCACCGGAGATGCACAGGATTCCTTTTCCGGCAAAAAAACCAGTGCACAGACAAGGAGTTTTCCGTCAGTGCTGATAAATGACACACGGCTGAAATGGACATGTCACTATGATCTACATTAGAATTCGGGCAAGTAATTCATATAAGGGTCCTCATTGTTGTTCACTAAGATCAGGCTTCTGTTGGTTTATCTCAACAAAATTAGCCTGTTACTGTGTCTTATTAGACATAGGTCTCTGTTGCTTCCCAGTAGGAAGATGCTTTTTTCATCAGAGTTTAGCTCACCCCTCTGCCTACGAACAATTTGAGTGATCACATTCGTTTCCTACAAGTTGCCTTCGTAGCCGATATGTGAATGCTATATTTTAGAAAGCCAATAAGGTACAGTAAGAGGTTTAATTTTGATGAGATAATGCAACAATAGCCTAATCTTAATGAACAACAACGAGTAAACAATTAAATAAATGGCCTCAGAAACACCCGTAATCCAGTTTTATTGATTTACGATGACAAGCGTTTACG